ACACAAAAAATTTGTTATGGTAAATATTAAATTTTCTTATATGAATTTAAACAAAATATATTATAAGAAACTTTTTATTCAACAATTTTATTTCTTAATTTTCTCACCATTCAAAAATTTCAAAAAAAATATTTATTTTTTTTTATGTATTTTAAAATTTTCAGAAAGAAAACAAATAAAATTAACAACCAATTTTTTTTTTTTTTTATTTGGCTTTTGCATGACTATTTATTTTCCTAACAGTTGTTACTTTTTATTTTCAAAAAGATTAATAATATCTTTTATTAACTACCATGCAAGCTCTAGACAAAAAAAAAAAAAAAAAAATTACTTAATTTTTATTTATTTATTTTTATTTGTTAATTATATTTAATTAAAAATTTATTAATTTATCTTTTTTATATAAAAGAATTTTTATTGTTGAGGAAGACATAACTCTTAAGAGTGGATTTTTATTGTTATTTGAGAAAATTTTATGCTTTCAACAATAAAAATTTTTGTTACCTATAACTATTATATAATTTAAATTTATGTCTTAATAATAACTTGTAATTGTTAATTTAAAAGCAACAGACTTTAGTTGCTAAACGTAATTCATAACATTATAATTAATATGTATTAAATTAAAAAAGAACGATTGATGAAAATTTAAATTTTTAATAGAAAAGATTTTTAATAAAGTAAATATATACCTCTTAAAAACAACAAAGTCTCAAAGAAGTAGACCACATAAATACAGTTTATTGGTTTGTAGCATTAAAATTATATTTAAATTCACTGAACTAGCAGAGGCAATTATCATGCTCTTTATTAATTTTTTTCTTCATTACTTTAGCGAAGTTATTGATTGGATAATTAATGATGCATTATTTTAATTACAGAATTATAATCTTATTTACTCCTTTTTTTTTTTTTATTATTGTATATTTAGTTGCTACCAAATTAAATTTTACTTTTAAATTATGTTTTGAGAAATATATATATATATATATATATATATATATATATATTATCTATATTTCTTAGTATTACAAAAATTAGATATTATTTTTTTATAACATTATGAGTCAGCTAAATAACTATCATTTTTGTATATGAGATTTATTAACTGGGTGTTCGGTGACTTTGCTAGAGTATTGAAAAAACGAATTAATAAAGAGCATGTAGAGTTGTCTCTAAGATTTTGTTGTAATTATATATATTTTTATATGCTTTGAACGAGTTATTCTTAAGTATTTGCTCTACTTCGTTCAACATTCTTTAATATCATTAGGCATTTATTTATATTAATAAACATCTTTGTTTTTATTAAAAATTTAAATCCTTATTGAATATTGACTATTAATTAAATGTAAATTACTTATTTCTTTGTTATGAGTTATGTTCAGCAATTTAAATATATTGCTGTTGAATTAACAAACATAAACAATTAGCAAAAATGAAAATTAATTATGTGAATATTAATTACGCGAAAATTTTATTGTCATATGTATAAAATTTTTTCTCACAAATTAAAAATATAAACATTATACAAATTAAACTCTTTTATGTAAACATTATTATCTTTTTAAGATCTCATATTTATTGGTGCTAAATTGTATTCTCGATTTTAATTTTACCAATTTTTTTTTTTCTCTCTCTCTTTTTTTAAATCATTCCAAAAAAAAAATAAATATATTTTTTTTTTTTATCTCTATTTTTCAAATGAAAAATATCTCAAAAAAAAATTCCAATAATTTTTTTTTTTTTTTTTTTCTCTTCAGTTAGCACAACCAACTACGTATTCTTCACATAGCTAGTCCTTTTTATAACCAGAAAGGTTAATGAAGCTTTTTATAAACCAATATTCCAATATGTATTATTACGTAATGAGTAAATAATCCAAAAATGGTATATAAAAATGTAAATAAATTATACAGTTACAAATATTGCAATAAATATAAAAAAAAAAAAAAAAAAGTTCTAACTTCTTTCATGCATATTATTATTACTTTTTTTGAATCATGTATAATGATATTTTTTTTTAATTTTAATAATTTTTTTTAAAAAATACATTTACTAATTTAATTGACAATTTTTATTTATTTTTTTTGTTCTGATTATAAGTAAAACTAATAACATCTATATTTAAGATTATTAACATTGATTTTTATTAAAATAAACTTTTATAAAATAAAGTGTGTAACATATATATTTTAATATCAAAAAAGAATGAAATGTTGCAAAAGAATATTTTCTTATTAAAGATATTACACATTCATATAAAGCGTTAATATACTAGTATGCAAAAAATCTTGTTAAACTTTTATGAAATAATAGTAAATTATATGAAAAATAGCAAGTCATCTATACAAATTCTTTATTTAAGAAATTATAACAACAAAAAAAAAAAAATATATTTTTTTATTTGTAAATTATCTTGTTAATTATTTTTACTTAATTTTTTCATTTTTTGTTGATGAAGTATCTTTGTTGAATGAAGAATTAATTTTTTAACGATAAAAAACTGAATTATGTGTTTACAAGAAAAACAAAAATTTCGTTTTTATTAGAAATTAATTTTTATATATTTTAAAAATACTATTAATAACTTTATTTTTAATCTGTTAGTTTATTTTAAAAGATTACTTTATACTTATTATTTTTAATAAATATTTAAGTTTTTAATAAAATTAAGAATAATTTCTTATTAAAGTATATAAATGTTTATTTACGTAAACTATATATATTAATTACTCATTTGTATTATAAATAGTTTTTAGAATAAAAATTAGTAAAGAATACTCTATATACTTTTTACTATTTTTTTTTTTCTATTATCTAGAAAAAATAATGAATGGCTACCTAATAAATCATATGTATAATAAGACTTTATTAAAAATAATAGTAACTGTGATCTCATTTTTCAATGAAACATTTATATTAATTTCTTCAAAAAAAAATGCATTTGTTCTAATTATTTAATTTTCCTCTAAGAATATGTTACACTTATTTGTTCTTCTATAATGTTACTATTATTATTAATATTATTAATTAAATTTTTCTATTATTATATTTACTTTTTTTTTTTTTTTTGTCGTATAACTTCTTACTAATAAAGTACTTGTTTCTTTTTTTTCTAACGGTTATAATTTTTTTTTCTTATTAAATTATGTATATATATTGCATTATCACATATAATATAATTCAATTACATAATAACAATGATATAAACAATGCTATATTTATTAAAATAAAACTAATAATATTAATTATAGTACTAATAATTTTAAATATAGTATTCGTAATTTTGTTGTCATAGTTTTAATAATCAAGAATAAATTATAATCATTTTTCACACATATTTACTTTAAAAAAAATTTTTTTAATACGCTAAAAAAAAAATTTTTTTTTCATATTTATTTTACAAATAATATAAAAAACATTTAAAATACCTAAAATAATTTTTAAAAATTTCAGATAAAAATATAAAAAAGGAAAAAAGAAACAAAAGTAAATGAATAATTAAATAAAATTAAAGTATCTATGTGCATATACAATGAGTAAAAATTTAAGCATAAGGTAAAATTTGTAAATATTAAATACGATAATATAATAATATAATAAATATATTTTAATGTCTTAATTTTTTTATTTTTTTTCTTCATAATATAAATCCTATATATTTTTCATAAAAATATGTGAATGAATTTTTAATTAAAGCATGTTTAAACTTTTCATTATAATAGCTATTTCATATTCAGAAAAAAATTAATATTGTAACTATTTTTATAAAAAAAAAAGTTTTCATTTATAAAAAATATTCGTTAATTATAAAGAATTAAAAAAAAGATATTATAACCCATGTTATATTTCTTTTATATATGACTAAATATTATGTTTCTTGCAGGAAATTTGAACTTTCAGCATGTTTTTTAAATTTAATTTTAATTTTAATTACATCACCATTCTATCTTTTTTCTAAATATAAATAATTTGCATGCTTTTACATAAATTTCATTTATTACTTTCTTTATTATTTTAATTCATTATAATTTTCATATAAATTGATCAATTTAAAATTATAATAAAAATTTATATTCTAAGAAGTAAAAACAGTTCCTAATGAACAGATAAAAAATATAAATGTTAGCATGAATTTTATAGTTATATAATTAACAAAATAATAAGTAATAAATGTTATATGATTATGCCGAATTTAAGATTATAAAAAAAAAAACACAATTATATGAAAAATTCATAAATTACTAATAAATGAATATCAAGAAATTAAATTAAAAAAATGGAAACTATAACAAATAGAAAAATATTTTATTATGATAAATCAATTTATAGATTTTGCTAATATTTTTATGTAGATATTTTTTTTTTTAATATAGATCTTTAGTTTATTAATACATTTAAATCTTAAAATATTAGTTTTAATTTGTTAAATATATTATGGAAGGATTTTAGATGAAAATATATATTTGCATAGTTATATACAAAATTTGAACATTTAATAGTATTTTTTTATATTTTTTTAAATAATTATATTAGTATCTAAATAATTTTAAATAAGTTTTGAATAAACGAAAAAATATATACTAATTTAATAACATTTTTCATTTTATTTTATATGTATATAAAAAATAGAAATTTATCTTTAATTTTTTATAAAAATTAAATTTAAATAAGAAAAATTAAGTAGTTATAATTAAAAATAAATAATAGTGTTTATATAAAAGTGAAGAATTAAATTCTAGTTACTATAATTTTTTTGAAGAAATAATATACTTAAAAGAAGAACATTTAATAATTAATATAGTTATTTAAAATATTTGTTATATATTTTAATTATTTTTTTATATCATTAATTTAACAATTTTATATATTTGTTTTTTATTTTAAATAGAAATATCAGCTTCATATTAAAATTACTGTATATTTTTAAAACTAAATCATAACTATTTTCAAATTAAGGTAAAGTGTTTTGTATTTTAAAAGTATAAAAACTAAATATGGAATACAGCAACGTACAAGATAATAATTTATCAAAGACATGCATAGATGACGATAAGGTTACTTTAAAAAAAAATTCTATATGCTCAACAGGAAAACAGGATATAATTTTTAAAAAATTAAACTACAGAAATATTGTACATTCTAGACTTTTTCTTGTATCTATTCTATTTCTTTTATTTTTCTTTTTTCAAGTATGATAAATCTATAAGTTAAAATTAACATATCCTTTACTTTTTTTAATTATATATTTGAATTAAAATTCAAATAAATATGAAATGTTTTTTTGATTGTTTAATTTTTAAATGATGATATAGGATATAAATAAATTCCAAGATGATATAAAATCAGGGATTCAATTCAAGAATATAAACTCAAGAAAATTAGCTGAATTGGATTTAAAGAATTATAATGATGATTTTCATGATACAAGTGAAGGTGTACCTCATGAACGTGTTTTGTCAAAATGGAAAGATTTCCGTGATAAGCAAAGATCGACATTAAATGATGAAATTAAAAAATGTTTAGATGATCTATTTGAAAAATCAGAAATTCATGATCTTAGTGAAAAAGAAAGAAAAGAATTATGGGATCAATTCTTAAAAGAATTTTTTAGTACTTTAGCTGACACAGATGGTACGAATTACCAAGAAATATATGACTTATGTCGTGAAGGATTATGCTCACGTGAAGATTTTAATAATTTTTTAAATAAGAATTTTACCTTATGGAATTCTATAAAAGATGATTTAAAAAGAAAATGGGATGATTTCTTAAGTACAAATATAAAATTGTTAAAAGATCAAGTTAAATTAGTTTCCTATAATACAATAGAAAATTAATAAGGATAAAATGAAAATTGTAAATAAAAAAAATACTGAAGTATAAAAGAAGAGGAATATGAGACAAAATATAAAGATAATAAAAGTATCAAAAAAGAAAAACTATCTTTAACATAGAAAAACAAAAAATATGGAAAAAACAATTACTTTTTTATTTTAATTTTTCTAGTTAAATAACGTATGTTTTACATAACATAAATAAAATTAAAATATATCTTTTGTTAAAAGGTACTTAATTCCATTAGTATGTTGTTTGTATTATTTTCTTTTAATTGTTTTTATATTTGTATTGCAGCATATAAAGTTATGGCATCTTCATATTTTGATCATTATATGTTTTTTAATATTTAGTATGTATTAGATAATTTTATTTATAAGTCTATATATTAATGATTAAAATGCGTATTTAAAAATAAACTGTTTAATTTATGAACACAAATTTTATAATAGTGATTTTTATTTCCTATGGTATTTTTTCCTAGCATATGAAATAGTTTATATTATATTTGTATATTATTAAATAAAAAAAAAAACAATGTTAATTAAATATTTTACATATAAAATTAATATATATATTTTTTCATTGTTATAGATAATATATTTATAATTTTAATTGTATTTGTATTTGTATTATATTATGTATTAACACATTTTATAAATATTTAAGAGTTATATTTAACATGATTCTTAATAAACAAAATTAAAAATATAATGAAAATAAATATATATTATTTAAAAAAAATAATTGGTACTTAATTTACAAATGATATTATCAGCTTTTTATTAAATAATCTTTAGTGAAATGTAAGAAAAATAAAAAACTACACCCGCTATATATTTGAAGAAATATCTTAAATAGTACTATAAAAAAATATATATTTCACTTTTTTCAGTTGTAACTTTGTTTTTGTTTATTATATTTTTATTATATATCAAAAAGAAAAAAAAATTATTTCTTTTTATAGAATACATAAGAATTCTTGGAAAATATTTCTAAAAATTTTTTTATAAGAATTATTAATTCTGAAAAACAATTATTTTAAAAGTAATAAAATATTTTTACAATATGGATAATAAAGCACTTCTAAGAGAATAAGTAAAGCTTATATAAAATGCTTTAAAGTATTTTATTATTTGGGGTGTTAAGAATAAATAAAATGTTAAGTTAAACGTTTTATTTATATGATTATAATGCCTTATGAAATATGCTACTTATTTCACTTTTTGAAATGCAATTTTATAAAAATTTCATATTGTTTATACATAGTATTTTTTTACAATTTATAAAATTAATAGATTTCACCCTAAACACTCTTCATTATTTTGTTTTTTCAATATATTGGAGAAGTTATTATAGAAAAAATTAATAAAAATTAGTAAACTATATTATTTTTGCTCTTATTTTATTAAATTTTCAAATAAAAAATCTTTCAAATAATAAAAAATGTACATACCAGATTATTCGTCATGTTACTATGTAATAAATAAGTTCATTTCATCCTATTATATCCTAATAAAAATATGCTAATTCTCTTCTACATTAAAAAAATTTTTATGATATTTAGAGATATTAATAAGACATTTCACATTACATATTAAGGTAACATAATATGTTTCAATTAAATTAAAAATTTTGAAATTTATTTCATAACGAAATTTTCATGGAACATTTTTATTACTCCATACAATATTATATATTTTTTAAAAGTACAACAACATATCTTAAAAAAAATAAAAAAAAATTACCTTTTTAAAATTAAGAAAAATGATATTTATATATCTTAGAATAATAAAAACATGAATAATTGTATTATTACTAATAAAAAATATAGTGTTTAACATAAATTATATAAAAAAAATTATTGTAACACTATATATTTTGAGTTTTTGTCATAAATAAAAGCAAATCATTTTTTTTCTTTTTCAAAACGGATTTATTTAATGCGTTATTAATAAAATATTTTACATCGTCATAAAAAGTATATATGTTTATATAATAGATTTATTCGTTAATCATATCCATTAGAGCTTAAAAAAGAAAAAAGAAATTAACAAAGGTTAAATAAAATAATAATTCTGTTTAATATTTTCTTTTTCATATAATTGTTTTTATTGCTCATGTATTTTAGTATTTTTTTATACTAAAAATAAGAAAATAAAATAATCTACACTTAATACAAGATATATTACTTAATAATATAAAAAATGAATACATATATGTTAAAAATAAAAACATTGTTCTAATATTGAAGATTAAAATGTATTTTTCATTAAAAATTATTTTTTTATTATTTACTTAACATAAAAAATACAAATTTCCCATAATTAATCCAAAAATTTAAATTTTCTAATAAATTTTGTTACTAAAATTTTTTTAAAATTTAATGTAATTAGCTGCGTTATTAAATAAATTTAAAAAAAAAAATATATATATAATTGATTTATTAACTGGGTGTTCAGTGACTTTGCTAGAGTATTGAAAAAACGAATTAATAAAGAGCATGTAGAGTTGTCTCTACCGTTTTGCTGTATTTATATATATTCTTAAATGCTTTGAAAGAGTGATCCTTAATTATGTAATCTACTCCATTCAGCATTCTTTAATTTCAATAGCATTTATTTACTTTAATAAAAATCCCTATTTTTATTAAAAATTTAAATCCTTATTGAATATTGACTATTAATTAAATGTAAATTTTTTATTTCTTTGTTATGAGCAATGTTCAGCAATTTAAATATATTGCTGTTGAATTAACAAACATTAACAATTAGTAAAAACGCAAATTAATTATGTGAATATTAATTACGCGAAAATTTTATTGTCATATGTATAAAATTTTCTCTCACAAATTAAAAATATATATGTTGTGCAAATTAAACTCTTTTATGTAAACATTATTATCTTTTTAAGATCTCATTTTTATTTGTACTAAATCTTATTCTCGATTTTTATTTTACCAATGTTCTCTCCTCAATTAAATCATTTTAAAAAAAATAAATATATTTTTCTTTTCGTATATCCATTAATTAAAAAAAAAAAAAAAAAAATTATTAAATTTTTTTTTTTTTTTTTTTTTTTTTTTCCGCGTGTGCAAAACCAACTACGTATTCTTCATATAGCTAATCCTTTTTATTACCAAAAAGGTTAATGAAGCTTTTTTTAACCAATAATACAGAGTATTTATATTAAAATAAAAGTACTATTAACTTTTTTAATATACAAAACAAGGTATAGTAAGAAATGTAAAAAATAAAATAGGAAATTTATGTCAAATTTTTTATACATAATTACTTTTCATTTGAGTAACATAATATTTTGAATTATCTATATTGTAATTTAGTTTTAATACTTTTAAATAAAGAAAAATGAGGTATTTCTCCTTAATATTGATCATTTATTCTATTCTATTCTATTCTTAGGTAAATTTTATAATTTTTTTTTATGTTATTATTAGAAAGTATAATAATACTGTTAGTGAAATATCCAAAATTTTTATATTCTGGATTGAAGCTACACATTTATTTTATATACGCTTATTCATGTCAATATATAGAATGTGTTTTATAATATATATATATATATATAAACTATAGAATTCGTTAAAACATTATTTTAATTTTTCAATCTAATATATAAGAAATTTTTACGTTTATTTAAGTTCTTTAAAAAAAATTTTTATAAATTTTATAAATTTTTTAAACTTTAGAATAACATTATTTAAAAAATACTAATAAAAATTTTTATTCTTTTTAATTGTTTTTTGCAAAAATAATTTATATTTATAAAAATTATTTACAAGTAAAATAAAATAATTTTTTTGATATATATAAAGTTAATGTACTTAAATTTAAATATTTGATTCTTTCTGTGTTATTACATATGAAAAATCAGTACTAAGAATTTTTTAAATTTATTCGAAACACTTATGAGATAATAAATAAAAGAAATACAAGAAAAATGACAAAGAATATTATCATTAATATTTCTATCATTCACTGTTTTATTAAAATTCAATTTTTGCATTTGATTATATTATTAAATATGAAAATTATATTAAATAATTTAATTATTAATAGAAAACATATAAAAATTAAAATAAAAAAAAAGAAATTTAATATTTTATTTTTGAAAACCTGAGAAAAATACAAGTACTTTTAAGAGTATTAAGTCAAAAAAATTTTGTTTTATTTTTATTTATTCCTTCTATATATTTTTTTATAACCTATATTTAATATTTATTTAGCACCTTTTCTTTTTTTATGAAAATGATGAATAATTTAATAATAAACCTTATATATTAATTTTATAAGAAAACACATCCTAAGACATAAAAAAAAAAGAATTAAGGAATATAACATATTTTAAAGCTGGTTAAATATTTTTTTTATCAAAATGAATTTTCTATTCTTTAAAAAATACTCTCTATGAGAAAATTATTTTGTTTTAGACGTTAATATTTACTTTCAAAAAATTTTATGATTTAATTATTGGCCATTAAAATATTTTCATAAAATCTCGAAAGGTCAAGTTAATGGAGTGTTTACATAAATCTCTATTTATTTTATTTAAAGTAATATTAATTATTATATATAATGTATAAATATAAATTATACTTTTTAATTCTACATAAATTTTATATTTAGTTTTAAAATGAGCCTTTATTATATATATATATAACTTTTTATAATTAATCAATATTAATTTTATCTTTTATTTTAAATCGAAATTAACATATAAACTATATAATTAATATTATATACAATCTTATGTAATTTCATTACATGTCACTTCATTCATTATAAGAAAATCAACTAATTTCTCTCTCTCAAAAAAAAAAATCCTTATATAATAAAAAAATATGTTTCTTTTTTTTATAAGTATAAAATATAAAAGAAAATTATAAGTCATAAAAAAATATGATTCAAATATATATTTTGGTTTTCTTATTGTTTAAAATATATGTACATTTGTGTATGCATTCTGATATGCGTTTTTTACA